GGGGTTGGGCTCTTTGCCTGTTTTCCTCAACTGCACCAAAACAGGGGGGTCAGGGGGGGTCCCCAAATTCTGAACTCCCCCAAAGACCCCCCAAAACCCCCTCCCCAAAAAAAACAACTCACGGGCAGCCCCTCAGCCCTGTCCAGGTACACGACCAGGATGGCGGAGGAGGGGGGGTCGGGGTTGGCCGCGATATTTCGGTTCATTTCCAAAACCTGGGGGTCGCGCCAACAAATTTTGGGGGGGGTCAGATGAAGCGGGACCCCCCCCCAACCCAGCTGAACCCCAAATTTCGGTCGGCACTGACCTGATCCAGCTTGGAGGCATCGGGGAGCAGCGAGAGCCACTCCAGGCGCAGGTGGAGCCGGCTCTGCCCCCCGCCCTGCAGCGGGAACCACTTTGGGGGGGCAAAAAGAGGGGAGGGGGCATCAGCGAGACCCCCGCCCCATCCCCAGCACCCCAAAAAACCCCCCCGGCACCCCAAAATCCCACCCCGAGCCCCCCACCCGGCACCCACCTCGTCCATCACCCGCGCTTGCAGCACCTCGCCAAGGTCCAGCTTCATCCTGGGGGGGGAACGCCGGGAATTTGGGGAGGGGGCGGCGGGTTAGGGGTGCGGAGCCCCCAAATTTGGGGGTGCGGACCCCCCTCCCCACGCCCTCACCTGCCCAGGAGATCGTCCTTGTCGGGGTCTTTGTCGAACAGTTCCACCTCCAGCTCCTGGCCCGGCACCTCGTGCACCATGAACTGGGGGGCAGGGGGGGCTTGGGGGTCCCACCGGGGGCTTGGGGGGTCTCCGTGTCCCACCCGGGGGGCTTGGGGGGTCCCACCCGGGAATTTGGGGGGTCCCTGTCCCCACACTCCCTTTGGGAGTCCCACCTGGGGGTTTTGGGGAGTCCCCGTGTCCCACCCGGGAATTTGGAGGGTCCCTGACCCCATAGCCCCTTTGGGGGCCCCACCCGGGGGGTTTGGGGGGTCCCTGACCCCACAGCCCCTTTGGGGGCCCCACCTGGGGGTTTGGGGGTTCCCCATGTCCCACACGGGGGTTTGGGGGTCCCTGACCCCACAGCCCCCCCATGTCGCACCTGGGGGGTTTGGGGTGACACTGGGGGTCCCACCCGGGGGTTTGGGGGTCCCACCCAGGAATTTGGGGGTGTTCCCATGTCCCACCCGGGGGTTTGCGGGGACTCTGCAGGTCCCCCTCTCCCCCGCTCCCTCCCTGCAGCCTTCTGTCCATGCAGTGTCCATCTGTCCATCGCCGTGTCCATCGCCGTGTCCATCCCCTGTCCCCGTGTCCATCCCCATGTCCATCTGTCCATCCCCGTGTCCATCGCCTGTCCCTGTGTCCATCCCCTGTCCACCCATCCATCCCTGTGTCTGTCTGTCCATCCCCGTGTCCGTCCGTCCGTCTGACCTCGTACACCTCGTCCCACTGCGGGTCGCTGCAGTCCCCGATGACGCGGCTGGCGGCCCATC